AAATAAATCATTGTTCAATTTCTTTAAGAACGGTTTAGGAAACCAGACAAAAAAGGAAAACCAATCTATCCCGAAGCACGCATTACTTAGCCCCTCGTACTACTCTTGTGTTTACCACGAAAATGGAATAAATGAACTTAAACAACCTGAAAGTTGCAGAAAGTAATTTGAGTTAGACAACTGAGTCCCAGTCTGTTTTAGCACTCGGATATAATAAGTTTATCCAACCTTGATTCCCACTACATACAGTACTGTCTGTGTGCAGCAGTCTTAAAAATCCAGTTCGATCCAGAATCTACAGCGTTAGCAAACAGAAGCACGGTCAAACTCAGTTCTGAACATGTTGCAAAATACAAGTTTGTCCAACACAGTCATTTTGATCCCAGTTTTCCACACAAGAACAATAATTTAATATATGCTTGTATTTTGAGTTGAGACACCCTCTGCAACAACAGCAAAAAACTACTACACAGGAGGCCCTCATTACAACTGAGTACTGACTCTACACACGTGTCAGGAACGGAGAATTGGACAATTTGCAGTGCTCATAATCACTCTGTGTATGTGAAATCAGTGCGAGGCATTTCTTAACCTATAAGTGCCTTGTAGCTAGTACAAATTAAAAGTTTGGCTAAACATGGTGGGAAAAAAAAAAGGATTAAAATAGTCGATGAAATCTCAAGTTCCTAGAGGTGAAGGAAGAACATTATAAAATAAAAAACTGGCAAAAAGTGTACAGGGAAAGGATCATTTATGTGATGAAAAAAAAAGGAAAAAAAGAAAAATCCCTAGTTGCTTACATACAAGCTCCAGAATTTAAATCATAAAGATCTCCTTCATAAACATGACTGGGATCACTTTTCCCTCACAATAATAGCTCTTTATAAAAATTCCCGTAATCTTCCATTGGATGTAGCCCTGATACCGGTACCCTCTCCGCACATCTTTATTCTTGGCAATAAAGTAATGTCAGGATTTCAACGAGAGCATGTAAAAGACAAAAAGACTGGTAGCTATAAACCACAAGACAGGTCAGTGGCACAAAGTTTCGAACTCAACACTTTCAAACTGCTAAACAGGTAGGAAATGAAAGCCTCCTTGAGGGGCACATTGGTCTATTCAGTCAGCCTTTTTCACTTTCACTTTTGGTAAACAAGTATAATATGCCATGAGCCTTTTTCTCTATTTACATAACTCTGCATTCCCCTATGTGTCGTCTGGCACAACACATTCAACACTACAGGACAAACTGTAACAGGCTGTGAGTGAGCTGAACATTAAATCTTACCGCAATCAGACATTACCCATCTCGCGCAGGCCTACGTATTGTTGGCACCACAAGAGTTTCTGATAATAAGAATACAATAATAAATTAAAGAGAAAGAATAAATAGCTCTCACAGGAGAAGAGTACAACATGAGAGATTTGGAGCTAGCTATGCTTACATTTACCACACAGCTACTGACAAAGACACCAAAGGCAAAACGTAAAGGGACAAAAAAGTGGTAAAAGTAGTGGTAGTAACACAGGTGTAAAAGTAGTAGTACTAACACAAGCAGAAACTTTTAAGACAAGGACCACGTCAAGCATTAATTATTACTTGAGTCTATTGATACAGCCTGCTTTGCTCAGAGTAGGCCTTGTCGAGTCATGGAGGTGTCCTTGACATTGAGCAGGTATTTACATTGCCTATATCTCCAGAAATACACCCGATATAAATTAATATATATTATATATATATATATATATATATATATATATATATATATATATATATATATATATATATATATTGCCATCTTCCTAATTTTACAAGACAACACATAACAAGAAACGTTCTACATTTCCACAATGCAATGTCAAGACGGTGGAACCATAATGCTGAATTTTGTTAACCTCAAAATGTAACAGTCTGCGGGGTGAAATCTGAAAACGAAAAATGTTAATTATGATCAACACACGCACATGGTCTCTACTGAGCTGGCAAACTATGCCATCAGTATCACGAGAAGTGCATTGGTGAACAAACAAAAGAGACAAAAAAATAACTGAAACTCTGGATACAGTCATTGCACAAGTCCTCTAAAATATCAGTTCCACAGATTATCTCAACATGACCTTTTTCCCTCAGCGCAGCGCGGGAGAGGAGGAAAGAAAGAAAACATGGCAAGCCCACAAAAATGAACTCAAAGTGAAAGTTAAAAAAAAGGACAGAAAGAAAGAAAAGCCCTAAATGGGACACCCAAGATACATAATCAGTGATGAAAATCATAGACACAACACAGGGAACGGATTCAGTAATGGCTCAAACACAATATTTGCTCATGACTCATACATTATTATGTGGTACAATGGCTGTGGGTATTTGATAAAACTTTACTCCTAAAGTTCGAATAATTAATGCTTGAAAACACACCAAAAAAAAACCTGGAACAGAGACAAGAATACAACAGTCCTGTCGTTCTTTCCTCTTTTTTTCTACCTTAATCTCTCTCAGTTCTGTCCATAACTTAGAGAATTACACAACTTTACTTTTGAACACAAGCAGGGAATCATTAAAGTGGGGGGGGGGGGGGGGGGGGTCTAACCTAAAACTCTTTAGCATCATTCCAAAGCAGGAGCATTGACTCCTCTTTCCACCAGGCCAAGAAGAAATATTCCTAGATATACAGGAAATTTGAGTCCTTCTAAAACTCTACAATCCATCGTCCGCACAGCAGACCATGTTCCAAGCCCACTGCACTACAGGGGCTGGCAGAATCATCAAATTTCTAGAAGATTTAAAAACAAAAGCCAAATAAGAGTGGAGATCTTTGGCAATGATATGCTGAAACAAAATTCTAAGCAAAAAAAAACAACTAAAAACAAAATAAAAGTGTTTAAGCAATGCAAAAGAAACAACAAAAAACAGTCATACCTAGGTCAGGGACAAGAAAAATGTTTCAATATGGCTTAAACGTGTGATAGAGATACAAATGCTACAGACGAACACCTGGAATTCACTCAATACATAGTATAACTCCATTGTGAGCATTTTGATTGATTGTAACTTAAAACCATCAAACCAGTAGTTTTTGACAACCCACACTGGACATTCAGGAAATTCTGGAGACTATCCCATACTTCCACACATGGACCTGGCTTATCATAGGTATGTTCTCAGCCACCTTCAGCAACAATTCTTTTTCCTAAAAACAACTTGCCCACAGTATTGACTCCAGTTATGTTCTCTTCTCTTTCACTTTCAGAATGGAGTTCACACAGTGGAAATGTCTAGTGACACTCTACAAATTACAGCACTTCCGTTTTGATGTGTTTTCACAGAGAACTATTATACAGACTTATACATGTCATCATTGCAAGAAAAATTCTTGACTCCATACTATTTAATTGCTCACCCTGTAAAAGGGGTCAAACATAATTATTCAATTTCCTTAAGTCAGTAACGATATTCCCTTTTCAGCTACACATCACTTCTGAGCGAAAAACTCTTATGGTACAACCAAAATAACAACTGCATTCTAATTGTTTTATTCCCTACAAAAGCCAAAGGCATGCAAAGAATATCTTTAACCATTGAATCATAGTTAAAGCTTTTACACCGAACTTGCACAAAATCGATAGAGTGATCAGTCTCATACATCCAGGACTATTTCACTTGATCTCTTCACAGATTGTCTTTTGACAGTGGTGTCAGTATCATGTCCAATCATATACACGAATTCACATTCTAGAATAGACATTAACAAAAACGAAGCTGCAGTGTGCAATGATGGGTGTTATGAGAAGGCTGGAAGTCTCAGACAGGTGCCACAGACAGTCATCTCAAAGAGTTTTTAAAAAAGACGGAAAACAAGTTGCTGGGACAGAACTTTCCTTTACCTTTCAAAAAGAAAAGAGCCCATATGAGAAAGGTGAGAAGAGGAAAATATAAAAATTCAGAAACTTGATGGAGATGGAAGAAGCAGAATTAAAAAAATTATAATGAAATCTCCTGACAGCTTTCGACTTAGACAGGGAAATCCATAGTTTAAAGAACCCCCCCAATTTGGACTCTGAACGGACAAGAAATGAACAAACAGCTTCAGGTGCTTCAAAACCATTTCCAGGTAGCTCACTCTTTCCCACTGACTCGTATCTTGTTTTATTTTGAAAGTTCAAGAGTAAATTTTCAATTTTTCTTTATCTCAACGAGTCGAAAAAGAAAAGATGGAAAATTAAAGTGTGGTTGCGGTTCTTTTCTTTACCTTACAAAAAGAGAAAAGTCCATATGACAGGGATGAGAGAAATGAAAATAAAAAATTTCAGAAAAACCAGACAGAGATAGGAGAAATGTGAGGTGTGCTGACAAAATGAGTTACTTCTTGCAGTCCACAAATGAAGATATTGGCCAAAAATTGACACTAGGGTTAAATTTACAAGTTTTGTTTTGATGCCATATTCTTTAACTATAACATGGCTTTTATTATTTCAAACTTTTAAACTGTAAAAAACTTCACCTATAAGCATGATGTATCTATTTCCTTAAGGCTTGAATCCAAAAAGCAACTCATTTTGTCAGCACATTTCACAAATCGAGAAATGCACAAGTTACCCCCCCCCCCCCCCCCCTCCCTGAAAAAACTGAGTAACAAAAGGATGAGGGGGAAAGAGTAAAATCTTGAACAGGAAAACAAAAACCCCAACAAACCAAAACAACATACCAATACACACACACACACATATATATATATATATATATATATATTATATATATCACTTCACAGCTCTGTGAACACCTCACAACACATCTGCACCAGGGCATGTACATCAATGTACTAGATGGAGAGGGAGGAATTAGAATTCATCAAAGCAGCCGTAAATTTACTCCAACGTGTCCGCTAAAATACTGAGTAGAACAAAACAAAACCAAAATAATGAACAACGTGAACTGTACACAGATCTTTCTCCGAGCCATTATGTCATGTACGATATCGTGTAGTATATGCTAAAACAATTTCTTTTTTTTCCTCAAAACTGAAATGAAATAAATAAAAACACCACAAATAAAAGCAATAAAGAGCACAAAAAAACTCAGCGAATACTACTTTGTAACTTCATTCAAAATCAAACAATTCATCAAAATCAAATCATTTTGCACAATTAAATACTTAAGTGAGATGAAGAGGGGCATGTGTATGTACTAGTGCACATGTGCGCGCGCGCGCGCGTGTGTGTGTGTTTGTTTGGGAGTGTATGGATATGTGTGGGTGTGTGTGTATGTGTGTGCCTGTGTGCACGTTTCAAAACAAAAATGCGTCAAATCATTTTGCACATTACAACACTTTACGACAATAAAGTGAGAAGAAGACAGGTGTGTTGTTTGTGTGTGCAAAGGTGCGTGTACATCTCCAATGTACAAATCACAATAATGTGCTTGACTTAAGCTAGAGTAAATGTCTTCAATTATGATGGCGCATACGAACATCATCATAAAATGTTAATAATGTGTTCAATTTCGAAAACTTCAAAATTTTCTCAAATCCTACCTCTCCCCTCCCCCAAAAAAGAAAAATTTAAGAAACAAAAAAAAATTCCGACACAGCAACGGCAATTTGATTGAATGAACACACAAGAAAATGCTTGTAAAATCCACCACGAAGATAAATGTAGAAGCTAAAACATCTCCACTTCTAAACAACATTCAGAAACAATATTACAGTCTGGAATGAGGCAGCCACTGACAAGCAGCACACAGTGTTTGGGTGGGTGAAGGTACAACAACATCTCTGCTACTATTTTTTTTTTTTAATCCTTCATTCCTTTCAGAGGGCATCATCATATTATTATTCTCTTCTGGTCTTCATATCTTGCCGATGTCCTCTTTCCGTCTCCTCCTACACGGGAGAGCAGTTACTCCTCAACGCCTGTATCCAGAATGTGACCAAACGAGAAAGGAGAAAACTTGTGACCCAGACCGTCGTAGAACTTGGACTGGAACTCAATCCTGAAACACAAGTTTTTTTGGTGTGTGTTTGAGTTTAATTAGCTTTAGTAAGAGTATTATCCTGGCACTAGCAAGACAATAAGGTCATACGAGTGCCAAAGACTAGAGGTGTTACAATATCATTGGGTTTTTTTGTTATCTTTATTTCTAACACAGCATTACTGTTTAAAAGCAGTAAACAAAGGTATACAGTTTTTAAGTAAAGTAAGAAACTTTAGGCGTTTTGAAAATAATCCAACATTTCACACCTATGGCTTGATCACAAACATTGTAAAATAAACTGGAGTAAATGTGTCGCGACGTGGTGGAAGCAGGCGCTCGTCAATTTTTGGGCATATAGGTTTATTTCTATCATCTTCAAACCTGTTCATTTGCTTTGCTTTTGGTGAAGAAATATCTATCCATGTTGAATAGAAATCTAAATATTTGTGATTGAAGGAGGTCAAGGCCACCAGGTTTCAGAGGTGAAATTGGCGACAAAATGGCCACCAAAGTTAGGTAATTTCCATAGCCTGAGTCCTCGGAAACTGAAAATTGACTTTTTTTGTGCCTTTAATCGATGTTTTTAAGTAAAATCCAAACAAAAATGTGTTTTTAAATAGGTATAAAAAGTGTTGACCCAAAAAAAGAAAATTAGAAAAAAATTGCCCAACGCTCAGAAAAATGCCAATTTCTTTGATTTCTTTATTTTGACGGGCGTCTCATTTCACCACAATGCCTCACAAAATAAGGGGCTAGTGAAGAGCATAAAGAAAACAGAATTTGTACTCTTTTATACAAAAAAATGGACTTCCGTACTCAGACTCCCAAAAAATATTAAACATATTTTTCTGGTTGGCATCTATGCTACCACCATAACGACTCTCCCTGACAAGACAGTACTGACCAGTGGAGCCTGAGGGCGTGCAGGAAGGCAGACAGTCCCTCCATCAGCACCAGGATGACCACGGTCATGCAGGCCCACACCTGGAAGATGATGAACAGGGCGATGAAGCCCCAGCCTCCCGGCATGAAGCCGATGCGGAGAACCATCTGCCACAGCACTTCCGACAGCTCTGAGGAGAGAAAGTGCACACAGACCATTACTAATAGTAACTATTTTAGGCTCTTTTTAACGATAAAATACAGACAGCGGTGGAGTCCCACCCACCCATCATATTTCAACACAGGAAGTCACAGGCTTAACACCACCATCCCATCCATCCCCCTGCCCCCCAATTTTTTTCGTTGGGGTGGGGAGGGAAACATATTTATCAAACCAACCTGGCAGGTTGGGGATGGGAGAGGGGGGAGAGAGAATGTAAAATATCTTTAGCACTAAGAGGTGACAGCTCAAACACCACGATGAGATAATGATAACCTACGTGCATGAGCCAGTGAGAGAGCCCAGAGCCGGAGGTAGGAGGCGGTGTGGGAGACACAGCCCAGGCAGAACTCGATGGAGTGGATCACCTGGTGGATGAACATCTCGCTGAAGTCGTGCTGCTGGGGAACAGAACAGAGATATGCATGAGATATATACATTATAATATATTGTTTCTGTGTGTTGTTTACAAGTGGAGAAGTTTATTCTAAGATAGGGAATGAGAATTTGTTTTAAAAAATATCATAATTTCACTTTATTCTCACACAGGAGAGAGAGAACTCGTTAAAATTCTTAGATAAGGTAATTCTAAGACAAACAGAGAAAACTTGTAAAAATTCAAAAACATAAGAACGAACAACACCCAACTAGTCCGGAAAGAGAAATCTCATAAGAATCCAGGGGATCCTCACCTTATTTTACAAAGCAGAATGCATCATTTGCACGCGATAATTAAGAAATAAAAATAAATAAAGACTACGCAAGTAAATAATTTTACTTACAGCACTTTACTTGAACATGGAGAGACACGCAGTAAGAACTATAATGAGGCTGCATTTTTTTTTCAGGCACTGGCCCGTGGTTGCAAAAATCTTAAAGGATCTATACCCCTATTGGCACAATTCAGGTCCAGCGGAATGGCACCTACTTCGACAGTCTGTCAGGGCCAACCCAGGCTGGGCTGTATGCAGCATTCGGCAGGCAAACAGAGGTGCTTGAGTGAAAACTTCCTCACTCGCTCGTGGAAATCAAACTCACATCTTTTGTACACAACAACGAAGAGCGTAACAATTATACCACAGACGTTGGTGACCCATGGCCAAAAGCACAATCCAAAAGAGAGTAGGACAAATCATAAAGTATGTGCAAAGAACATACGTCACCCTCCTTCTCAGAAAAGTTGTGGCGTGTGACAGGCACCTAACATAAACAGAAGGTGTGCCCCTCTTTAGAGGGGAAACAGGAATATTTGTTAAATCCCAAAGCCTACTCATGGAAGGAGAGAAAGAAATCTTACTAGAAGAACACTGAGGAGCTTTTCCCATTTCCCTACTCTCTCCAATCCAACTATATTTCAGATTCTCCATGTTATCAACAGTCCATTACTTGGGCACAATTCTCTCTCTCTCTCCCTCTCCCTCCCCCCCCCCCTCTCTCTCTCTCTCTCTCTCTCTCTCTCTCTCCTTTTCTATAAATCCCTCCCCCCCACCCCCCCCCCCACTCACCTCATCTTCCCCGCCACTCTCCTCCTGTTGGTGTAGTCCGTTACTCTCCAAGTTGTGCACCACTTCCTCCCCGCCCAGGACGTCTCCACTGTTCACAGACAGAGGCTGGTGCTTGAACTGAAACAGACAAGTTTCCATTCGGAATGAGCTCAACAGACTACTGGACATACAAAGAGTAGTTGAGAAAGTAGAGAATCTCGTCTCGCACTGGGATAATGAGTTGACACTTTGAAAGTTTTCTGCTGCTTTGTAGAAATAAAGAGAAACACATCAACACAACAGCCGCTCGTTTGAACACACCCATTGACTATATTACAAGAAGGCCAAAGTCTGGAATGAGCCCTATTTCAAGAAATTCATAGAATTCTTCAAATAATGCAAAAAAGGGTCTAATTATTTCTGTTAAAGTTAGTTCATAGTCCTTCTAGAAGCAATGTTCACCATTTCAAAAGCAGGACATTAAAATTTTGTCCCAATCATAAAGTAGAGTTGAAAGGAAGAATGAGATATTAAATCAGAACCTGATCTTCCACCAGCTGGTCAAGTTTGCAACCAGTGATGTCACACAGGTCAGTCTGTGGACTTCTCCTCAAAGAGCTGAACAAGTTGAAAACCAAGAAACAAAAAAAACACCCCCAAAAAAGCCTAAACCTTATGCTACATATGCACGAGAGAAATAGTTCTTTCATTTCATGAAGATCTAGAGAATTCGTGTCAATTTCTCAGATTGAAAACTAAACATTGTAAACTTCCGAAAATGTACCACAAAAAACAATCAGCAACACACAAACAAATGACAAATAAAAAGCTATAACTTAAAAAGTACCATTAAACACACCATTTCTTTCTTCACATTGATTAATTATCAACTTCTCCTGTCAATACATTTAAGTAGAGAATGATGTTTGAAACAAAAATTCCACTAAACTGGATAAGCTGCAAGCTCAGTAGTGGGCAATCAATACAATTGCCAGATTGTACAGGTATAAAGCCTCTTGCAACAGGGTAAGGTTATTTAAGATACAGGACCTCTGCATTTAATGTTCATCTCCTAGGTAATTTGAGCCAAATAAGAAAATTCCCAAGGACACATCTCATCAAGCTCAATCTTGAAACCCCTACCCCTCAATATCAGGATTATATAAGTCCGTTAGTCTAGCTATTAGACTATCTGCGGCACAGTTGGGCAAAGCAATACATTTAGTAATGAGATGATGAAACAAGTTGGAAAATTGTCCTTTTGAAAAATATCCTACCTTTTGTTTTGTTTTGAGCTTTATCCTACCGTAAAAAAAATTAAAGTTTCAAACACTTTACAGAATTTGTATTCACCACTTATTTCTGTGCATTTATTACTTCAAAATGAACAGCAGCAAAGGAGAACGTGCATAAAAGTTTTTCACTCTTGTCCTCTCTATCACATGTCTCAAGCTAGCTGCACACCCAGGATGGGCTTTATCCACATGTTGAAACGAGACAGACCATACCAGGAAGGGGAGGGGGGGCGGGGAGAGGAGGGGAGCGGGGTGAGGTATATATTATCAAATGATTTGTTTGATCACAGTGCCACCAAAGGGATAGGAAGTGAAAAGTACTGAAGTCGCATATTATCATTCAGTCAGAGAAGAAGCTGCCAAGTTTTCCTGAGTTTTAAACTGTTCCCCAAGCAAAGAATAGAGTCAATAGCAGTTGCGACAAAATCTCTGACAAATTTGAGATTTGAGACACCTGGGACACACCATACAAGATGCCCC